TCCGGTGCTTGTCTCCCTTCTTCTCTCTTCTTTCTTTCCTCAGGAAAGGGGTTCTGTTCCATCATGATTTGCTGGCTCCTCCTGGTTCCGGCTGGGGTTCCGGTGCTTGTCTCCGTTCTTCTCTCTTCTTTCTTTCCTCAGGAAAGGGGTTCTGTTCCATCATGATTTGCTGGTTCCTCTTGGTTCCGGCTGGGGTTCCGGTGCTTGTCTCCCTTCTTCTCTCTTCTTTTGTTTCCTCAGGAAACAGGTTCTGTTCCATCATGACTTGCTGGTTCCTCCTGGTTCCGGCTGGGGTTCCGGTGCTTGTCTCCCTTCTTCTCTCTTCTTTCTTTCCTCAGGACAGGGGTTCTGTTCCATCATGATTTGCTGGCTCCTCTTGGTTCCGGCTGGGGTTCCGGTGCTTGTCTCCCCTTCTTCTCTCTTCCTTGGTTCCGGTGCTTGTCTCCCTTCTTCTCACTTCTTTCTTTCCTCAGGAAAGGGCGTCTGTTCCATCATGATTTGCTGGTTCCTCTTGGTTCCGGCTGGGGTTCCGGTGCTTGTCTCCCCTTCTTCTCTATTCTTTGGTTCCGGTGCTTGTCTCCCTTCTTCTCTCTTCTTTCTTTTCTCATGACAGGGGTTCTGTTCCATCATGATTTGCTGGTTCCTCCTGGTTCCGGCTGGGGTTCCGGTGCTTGTCTCCGTTCTTCTCTCTTCTTTCTTTCCTCAGGCAAGGGGTTCTGTTCCATCATGCTTTGCTGGTTCCTCTTGGTTCCGGCTGGGGTTCCGGTGCTTGTCTCCCTTTTTCTCTCTTCTTTGGTTCCTCAGGAAGGGGCTCCGTTCTATCATGGTTTGCTGGCTCCTCCTGGTTCTGGCTGAGGTTCCGGTGCTTGTGTCCCTTCTTCTCTCTTCTTCGTTTCTGGTGCTTCTCTCCCTTCTTCTCTCTTCTTTCTTTCCTCAGGCAAGGGGTTCTGTGCATCATGATTTGCTGGTTCCTCCTGGTTCCGGCTGGGGTTCCGGTGCTTGTCTCTCTTCTTCTGTTCCGGTGCTTGTCTCCCTTCTTCTCTCTTCTTTGGTTCCGGTGCTTGTGTCCCTTCTTCTCTCTTCTTTCTTTCCTCAGGAAAGGGGCTCCGTTCGATCATGATTTGCTGGTTCCTCCTGGTTCCGGCTGGGGTTCCGGTGCTTGTGTCCCTTCTTCTCTCTTCTTCGGTTCTGGTGCTTGTCTCCCTTCTTCTCTCTTCTTTCTTTCCTCAGGCAAGGGGTTCTGTGCATCATGATTTGCTGGTTCCTCCTGTTTTCGGCTGGGGTTCCGGTGCTTGTCTCCCGTCTTCTCTCTTCTTTCTTTCCTCAGGAAAGGGGTTCTGTTCCATCATGATTTGCTGGTTCCTCTTGGTTCCGGCTGGGGTTCCGGTGCTTGTCTCCCTTCTTCTCTCTTCTTCCTTTCCTCAGGAAAGGGGTTCTGTTCCATCATGAAGAAGTAAAACAGAAGACAGGAGTGTACCAGACCGTTCTATGAATTTTGAATTGCACATGACCTTGGCGTTGTTGCTGTTTGGGGTCTATGCGGGTGTAATGATATGTTTACTTACCTTGACGTGCTTGACCAGCCGGCGATGCCCTTTACAAACATGCAAAAGTCGGAATTCACCATGCAAAAAAGGTTTTAACGTATTTTGACCGTAATTTTGACCACATTCGCAATATTCTAAGCTTTTTTCAAAATAAAAGCACGCGCACGTACTGCCGAGATGTTTGCTGGCCATTCCGAGGTTGGAGTGCTGGAGCAGTGGAGAGTAAGATTCAGAAAATACGTTGAATTGCCATGGTACAAGGAATCACAGGAATTCACAGGGTACATTTAGGCTATGCGGTTTCCTGTCCCCCACCGTTTGCCTTTCGCATGCGAGGCCAAAGGATTTGCTGAACTAGTGCTGTAGGGAGTACGCAGCCAACAGCTCTATCAAGTTGGGGACCAGCTTCAAGCGGCCCCTCTTGCCCCTTTGCATGTGGCTGTTCAGACGCATTTGGTACAACAAGCAGCTAGCTGGAAACCCCTTCGGTGAAAGACGCGCAGGCCATGGACGGCGCAGCTGCCAACTTTTTGGCCCGGCTTGGAGCGCCCAAGTGGGCGCCCAAACCTGCCGGGCGGGAGGAAGCGGGGTCACAAGCAGCAACCTTGCTTGCCAGCGAGGGCAGGGTGCACTGAACTAGAATTAACGAGACCCACAAATAGAACCGAATGGCATTGAAGGCTTTGCTGCAGTGTAGCGACGCTGGGAAAACGATGGTCACCAGGTCGGTAGGTGGGTAGCCCATCGGACGTTTTATTTGCCCCAGGTTCCAATTTGTATGTTCATGGTGTTCCATCCGTGGATAAAAATAATTGGAAATATTAGTCATAGAGCGAAGGTTTGGACAAGAAACTTCGCCGCAAACTGGCAGAGAAAAAAAAATGCGGGAAACACCGTTTGTGTGGCAACACTGGCTCAGCTACAAATGGTTGCCTAAAACACAATTATGGGAAGCACGTGTGCGCTGCCGAGGACTACCAAAAAAACGGCTTCAAAAACAAGGATCCAAAACTGAACCTTGATAGAAGGGAGTCGGATTTCAGCAGGTGGATTTTATAGTGGTGGTAAAACAGCTGTGAGATCCATTGCGTAGTGGCATCATGTTAAGTAGGACGTCTAGACATCCATGTTTTTGTTGTGGCACCGCTCGCGCCACTCGGCCCATGCCGAAGAGGCTGCAGAATGCAGCTCGACAAACGCAGCAATTGTTTTAATAGTAGACTCGGCTAAGCCACAATACAACGCACAACTTGCACAACTCCATCCTCTATGACTACCGGCGAGGAGGCGGAACGCATCAGGCGTCCGGGCACCCCGGAGGGATTCCGATGCGGCACTCCACGCCGCGATTGGGCGAACTCCGCGGTGAGACGGGCTGGAACACTCCAGGTTCAGCCAATGGTATTTTGAGGAGGGGCTGGCTGAATACGAAGTTGGGTCAGAGAAAAACCAATTCTTTTTGGATTTGGACAAATCCCGGGCACCCCGGAGGGATCCCGATGCGGCACTCCACGCCGCGATTGGGCGAACCCCGCGGTGAGACGAGCTGGAACACTCCAGGTTCAGCCACTGGTATTTTGAGGAGGGGCTGGTTGAACACGAAGTTGGATCAGAGAAAAACCAATTCTTTTTGGATTTGGACAAGTCCCGACATGGCGCCTATTAATATGAATTCATCCACGGCTTCCAGGACGTGTGTAATCTATGTGGCAAAGATTTATGATAGAACATGTTTACCAGTAGTACCGCACACGGCGGTGGTGGAAGTTTCAAAGATAGACAACTATAGTAGGAGAGGTGAGTGGTTGTGTTGCATGGATGGCGCGAAGCCGCTGATGGACCGAAAGTTGGTTGGAGCTGTGCTTTTTGAGATGGTTGCAGTGGTCACCTCACCCACAGCTGCTGAATGTAGTGTGGTGTGGTGTAGTGTAGTGGAGTGTAGTGGTAGTTGTAGTCGTAGTTGGAGTGTAGTGTATGCGCGCGTCTCTGCGCAAATTTGTCTGTCAGAGCAGTGACGCAAGCTGTCCCGCACCAGGGCCATATTTCAAGAAAACGGCACTTTTGAGATCTGGTAGTCTCAAGCGACGTTTCTAGTTTCTTTGTTTGTGCATATTTCTGGTTTGGAGACAAATTTCTGATTCTCTCTCAAACTTGGAAACAGGACTGCAACCAGAACCATGTCTTGTTTTTTAAGCCATCTCCCAAAAAAATATGCCGACAAGAGACCCCAAACAGTGTGGGGGAGTCGGAGGATAATGTATGATAATGTTGATGATGATGATGATGATGATGACAATGATGATGATAGTTAGGAGGATGATGTTGCGGACGGTGATGTTGAGGATAATGATGTCGAGGATGATGAGGTGCAGGAGGATGATGTTGAGGATGATGATGTTGAGGATGAGGATGAGGATGAGGATGATAATGCGGAAGAAGAGGTGGAGGATGATGATGTTGAGAAGGAGGAAGAAGATGATGTTGAGGATGATGATGTTGAGGAGGAGGACCGATCCCAAGACCGGGACCCCCACTTTGTGCGAGCCTGCGCAGTCGAAATGCACGTGGACATTTCACAAGTGCCACTACGCGCGAGAATTTAATTGTAAAATGCTGCAGACCAAGACCGCAGACCACACTTTGTGCGAGCCTGCGCAGTCGAAATGCACGTGGACATTCACAAGAGCCACTTTATCCGAATTTTACAGGTAAAATGCTGCGGGCCAGAACCGCGGACCACACTTTGTGCGAGCTTTGTGCGAGCCTGCGTAGTCGAAATGCACTTGGAAATTTCACAAGGGCCACTTTTTACGGAAATTTACAGGCAAATACCAGCTGAAGCACCTTGATCAAGCACGGTGTGGACACACTGTTTGCGGAACAAACGCGGGCTCTGCAGGTGTTCCGTGAAAAACTAACAAGCAGTGAGGTGCCTGCATTTGGAAGGAGTAGCATGCATTGTTGCGTGGGCACGTTGCCTATAGGATGAACGCAGTCAGGTTTTTCTGGCCATGGTTCATGGTACGTGTATCCATATTTTCATTGTTTCGACCAGTTTAAATCAACTTTGTTACTCACGTGCAAACCACTAGGTACCAAAACGCTTGTCCGCAAAACCACATGTGGAAAACAAACTTTTGAGACTCTACAGCATGCGCTTGATTTTGAATTTTCGGACGACCTTAACCCAGGGAGTAGCGCATACGTTTTTTGCCAGTGTTGATGTGTAGCGACTCCTGCTGTTTGCGCCAGGGAAAGGGTTCATGCGCGACCCAGCAATGAAAATGCATTTTCGATTTGTTGGTTGAAAATAGTTCGTTGGAATTGGTTGGTGCGCCCAGAACGGTTTTATGTTCTTTTGGTACCAATATGTCTAAAAGTTTTTGCGCCCCAAAGATTGGTTTTTGCTGGCTGCACACCACAAATTGAACGTTTGGCCGCTCGCATTGGCAGGCTCTGTTTCACGATTTTTTGGAGAAAGCAATCTCACAGGCGAGGTGACGCGGCCGGGATGGAACCCAAATGTTTGGCCGTGCCGTAAACAGTACACACCCATGGTTATTCGGTTATTCAAAAGGGAAAATGATGATCAACCATCAGTTTTTTTGGGGCATTTTTTCAGACAAACCCATGTTGGTTAATACACCCGATTGAGTTGGTTCTTCCCCTTTACGATGTTTGTATGTCGTTAGGAGGATTATGTTTCACCGTTGGCGTTTCCGTTTTTGCAAAATTTGTTGATTTTTTTTGTGAAAAACGTGGAAACCGTCCAAAAAACAGGAATATTGTTTTTGGTGCTTATTGGACAGGTGTGTCGTTCCTTGCATCTTCGCAATTGTTGGTTTCGATTCCCATTTTATAACCTTTTGTCAACATTTTTTATATTGGAATCGATCTTTCACGTAAATCTAACGGTCCCCCCAGCAAAGATGCCCCAAACAAAATGGAACAAACATGGCCTCGTAAAGTTCTGAGTATGTCCCTACTAGACACTATCTATCAACGTTTTGAGAGGGCCTTGTCTGCCCAGGAGGAGAAGGGTATCGCTGAGACCTACAGGGGATTTATAGGCTGGGACTCAATGGGTGTGTCTGGAAATGGTGGATTGGGTATCATATTTTTCAATCCCAAATTGGTCATTTTCGCTACGAAAGCACCCCAAAATTTGGGATCACAAAATGACCCAGAAAGAACATGAACCCCCGACATAGAAAAGTTGGTGTCCAGCTGCAGGGTCTATCATTCGGATGAATCAACCCCCGGCGGGTTAATTGGGGGAGTTCCATTTTAGCATGACAACATCCCTATTTTCAATTACCCCAGAGTTCAAATCAACCAGGGTTTCATCCGGAATTGACCAGGCCTAGCGGACAACCTGGAAAGGCAGAAGCACCACGGCTGCGGTGAAAATCTACTGAGATGGCATCTCTTGGCGACATGGGTAGTTTTTCACGAAAATTTCGGTGGATGATGGGATAAAATGGTGGATATAGTTGAGATATTTTATGTTGGGATAGACATTTTCATAGGGAATTTGTGGATCAATCCCCAGAAAGTCAATAAAGGGGTGCCTGATTTCTGGAGAAACCTATGTGCATCCCAGGATTGCCATAGGCGCGAGGTTAAACATGTGAAGAACTCACCAGCTTTGGGGCTACCTTCGGGAATGAACATCTACCACTTTTAGGCGACTTTCTTGTGGACGTGGGGATTTTTCCGTTGCCATGTTTGATCAGAGGGTATGTGGCGGTGGTATTTTATGAATCAATCCTTGTCCAGACATGTGGTATACCCCCAATGTGTTGCAATTTTGTTGAGAAACCGTTGGATCTTGCAGTCCCCCATTTTTCCCGTGTCGCAAGATGTATTTTCTGTTATAACACAAAACGCCACGGTTAGGACAGGACTGTAAACTACATTAAATGGCATGTGACAAGAAGGTCGCACTTAGGATAAAACTTGAATGCAACACCTTGGAAAATGACCAAAGCCCGGGCATTGCCATTGAGGATATTAAGAAATGGTCAACACGGTTCCGAAAAATTGCAAAAACCACGGTCACATTTGCCAATATGTATGTCGGTAGAAGAGACCAATGAATGGGTAATTTGGCCAAATAGGTTACATCCAGATATTGGAAATCAGTTTGGCAAAATTGTTAAGGCCCACCACAAAACCCTGGAAACTTCAAAAAGATGAGGTCTGAACATAGGGTTGAACATCTCATTTTCCATGTACCGCATATACCATGTTTTGGTTGGTTGAACCTTTAAACTTTAAACCAATGTTTCTGTTTACTGTAATTCAGCATCAATCAACCATAAATGAATCTCCAACCATGAATCTCCAACCCCACCCGAAGTCCCAAGTTCCTCGTTCCAAGTCTTGCATCTGTTGGTTGAACGATTTTCCAGACTTTTCCCAGTTCATCCTCTAAACATTGGCCCAAGAGATGTCCCCAGCAGATTTACCCTCCCATGTTTTCCTCACTTTTCCCACATTTTTCTCCAATTCGCCATGTTTTCCCCTTGGTTTTCGCCATGTTTTCCCGCCTCGCCCCCTAGGCGGTGGATGGAAGCGACCCACGCGTGGCAACAGGCCGTAGAGATGGCCACACCGATGTACCTCGGAGATTTGGATGGAAAAGATGGGATTTCAGGGGGATTTGAATGGGGATTTGATAGGGATTTTTAGGAAGATTTCATGATTTCATGGGATTTCATAGTAATAATGTGGGATACATAGTGATAATCATCGTCATTTCAGGGAATTCATGGGATATCTTTTATGGGGTTTCACCAATCAACACGGTGATTCTTCATGGGATGTTTTAGGTTTTAACGGTTTTTAACGGATAATTCAATGGAATAATCATGGATGGACTGGGATGATTTTCGTATGGGATTTCGTATCTGATTGTTATTGATTATATATGGAATCATGGGATTTCATGGGATTTATGCCATCTGGTTCTGAAAAAACCATATAGATGGCCCACGCATATAACCATGATTTATCTGGAACATGCTGATTTTTCATGGGATTTCTATGACATTTAGCCAAACACAATGGTGATTTAATGAAACACCATGGGATTTTACCCTAGCTTCAGTAATCCCCCCAAAGATAGAAGTAAATCATCGCTATTTTCGTAGGATTTTACTTTTCTATAGTATACATAATATGGGTGTAAACTAATGAAAATAATGGAGATACTTGGGTATTTAATGGCTATATCATGGGATAACAATGGGATGCCATATAAGAATGCCTTGTTAATGATGACTTATCCAACAATTGCGGGCTTTAACGACAAAAAAAAGGGGCCCGGGGGCCATCTAAGGTTGGCAAAATAGATTCGACTCACCTGTTTTGATTGGGAGTTGTGGAACACCAGATGTGTATTTTGTACTATGATCTCAAGCCTCAAAGTAGCCCCACTTGGAGGGGTTATACAGTGTTATTAGTCATACAAAATGATGTAGATGATGATCAGTAGATGATGATCCAGTTTGTACAAGTAGCTTTCTCTCCCTGCCTATACCCTGACATGTTGGACGTTGATGTTCCTAATTTACGACCAGTAGAATACTGTAAAGCACAGTTAAAACTGTGCAGCTACAGCCCCGAAAAAACCGCTGGGATGGCCTGTTTGCAATGGCCCCATTCCACCCGAGAAGATCCATCCTTGAGATCCAACGCTGGAGTTTTGGGGATGGTACTTGATCAAATCCAGGGGGATGGGCTTATCATTCATTACATCATATTCCAGATATTCCAGTCACGTCCTGTAGGTAAAAAAGTGTGAAGATTCATGATCATGTGGCGATCTGGCCGCGGTCTGGCTCAAAATATCTTCAGAATCAAGGAGACCTTTTAATTTTGAGACCATGTTGAAAATCACTATAGCCTTGCCCAGCGGTCGCAGCCACAACTTGTCTTTAAAGCAGACCTCCAAAGTGGGGCACTTGAGGGCAGGGGCGGAAGCCTTCGCTAGACAACCATTCCTGAGGCTCGTGACTGCAGAAGGCCGCATATTGTCGGATCCTGAAGAGGAGTTACAAGGAGCAGGTCTTCATGATGGAGACAGGATCACTGCAGTGCGGGCGGAACCCAAAGTTGCAGCAACATCGGCAGCCTTTGTCTTCTGATGTCCTGAATATGATGGAACTGAACTTAGGGCATGGGGCAATGCAAAGCCGGGTGGTGACTGCTCCGCAGTCCAAGAACAGCTCAGGAATGTCAAGCAGGTTCAAGCCACACGAAGTGCGTTTGCTGCCATCCTTGCAAATGGATCAGTCGCTACATGGGGCCATCCAGGATGTGGTGGTGATAGCTCTGAAGTTCAAAAACAGCTCAGGAATGTACAGCACATTCAGTCCGCTGCATGAGCTAGGATCGCAGCAAATGCACATGCAGGCGGCACCTCCATTTGCTGCGATCCTAGCAAATGGATCGATCGTTACATGGGGCCACCCAGAATGGGGCGGTGACAGCTCCGGATTTTTTTTTTCCGTCCTTCCAAGAAGTACGTTTTTTTTTTCTTCTCCTGGCCCAAGTATGTGCCATCATGCAAGCCCGCAACATAATTGAGTTGCATCAGTCAACCATTTGCACCGACAGCTCCGGAGTCCAAGAACAGCTCAGGATGTCAAGCAGTTGTCAAGCCACAAAAGAGGCATTTGCTGCGATCCTTGCAAATGGATCAGTCGTCACATGGGGCCATCCAGGATGTGGTGGTGATAGATCTGAAGTGCAAGAACAGCTCAGGAATGTCAAGCAGGTTCAAGCCACACGAAGTGCGTTTGCTGCCATCCTTGCAAATGGATCAGTCGTTACATGGGGCCATCCAGGATGTGGTGGTGATAGCTCTGAAGTTCAAGAACAGCTCAGGAATGTACAGCACATTCAGTCCGCTGCATGAGCTAGGATCGCAGCAAATGCACATGCAGGCGGCACCTCCATTTGCTGCGATCCTAGCAAATGGATCGATCGTTACATGGGGCCACCCAGAATGGGGCGGTGACAGCTCCGGAGTCCAAGAACAGCTCAGGATGTCAAGCAGTTGTCAAGCCACAAAAGAGGCATTTGCTGCGATCCTTGCAAATGGATCAGTCGTCACATGGGGCCATCCAGGATGTGGTGGTGATAGCTCTGAAGTGCAAGAACAGCTCAGGAATGTCAAGCAGGTTCAAGCCACACGAAGTGCGTTTGCTGCCATCCTTGCAAATGGATCAGTCGTTACATGGGGCCATCCAGGATGTGGTGGTGATAGCTCTGAAGTTCAAGAACAGCTCAGGAATGTACAGCACATTCAGTCCGCTGCATGAGCTAGGATCGCAGCAAATGCACATGCAGGCGGCACCTCCATTTGCTGCGATCCTAGCAAATGGATCGATCGTTACATGGGGCCACCCAGAATGGGGCGGTGACAGCTCCGGAGTCCAAGAACAGCTCAGGATGTCAAGCAGTTGTCAAGCCACAAAAGAGGCATTTGCTGCGATCCTTGCAAATGGATCAGTCGTCACATGGGGCCATCCAGGATGTGGTGGTGATAGCTCTGAAGTGCAAGAACAGCTCAGGAATGTCAAGCAGGTTCAAGCCACACGAAGTGCGTTTGCTGCCATCCTTGCAAATGGATCAGTCGTTACATGGGGCCATCCAGGATGTGGTGGTGATAGCTCTGAAGTTCAAGAACAGCTCAGGAATGTACAGCACATTCAGTCCGCTGCATGAGCTAGGATCGCAGCAAATGCACATGCAGGCGGCACCTCCATTTGCTGCGATCCTAGCAAATGGATCGAAAGTTACATGGGGCCACCCAGAATGGGGCGGTGACAGCTCCGGAGTCCAAGAACAGCTCAGGATGTCAAGCAGTTGTCAAGCCCACAAAAGAAGCATTTGCTGCAATACTGCAAGATGGATCTGTCATTTCATGGGGCTTTGGAGGGGTGATTTTAAGGTTGGACCCAAAAAATGTCCAAGAGGTACAAGCCACAGACAGAGCATTTGTGGTAGACTGGGGAGGCCAAGCATCCATTCATTGGATTGTTTATGGAAAAACGGTAAAACCTACAATTTCCCCAAAATTTCTACAGGATGGGGCCGCCAGGATAGTGTTCAGTTGACTTATACGTGGCTGAATTCCATGGTTTATGATGGTTTATGGTAGATATAACTATAGTTAATGGGGTTTATAAACCAACAAACATCACTGAGGGGCACCATCCTGTAGAGGTTTTAACCATGGCTTAAAATCGGTTTCGAAACTCTCGCCGAAAAAAAACCGCCCAGGTTTGGTGCGAGTTTCTCGGCGGGTCTGTTCGTGTTTGGTGGATGGAATGAGCATGGGATGATGGGAATATTTTTTGGGACAACCAACTACAATATGGGGGATTATATGGATTATGTATATATACGTATATCGTATATGGTATATGTATATAATATATGATATATATATAATATGTATATAATATAATATATAATAATATATATACGTATATATGATATATATATATATATATATAATATAATATATGATATACATTATATGTATAATATACATAACATAATATATATATATATGTAAATTATAATATATATATATATATATTATATATATTAAATATATATTATATGTTTATCATATATTATTATGTATATTATATTGAATATATCATATATCATATATATATGTATATCACATATACATATACATATATATATATATCATATGTATATATATCATATATATTAAATTATATTATATTATATTATACTATATTATATATTATTATATTATATTATATTATATTATATTATATATATTATATTATATTATATTAAATTAAATTATATTATATTATATTATATTATATATAATATATATAATATATAATATATAATATAATATATATATATATTCAATAAATAATATAATATCTATATATATAATATAATATAATATTATATAATATAATATAGTATAATATATAATATATATATATATATATATAATACATATAATATATAATATATATAATATATAATATATAATATATAATATATAATGTATACAATATATAATATATATAATATATAATATATATAATATATAATATATATAATATATAATATATACACGTAAATAAAATATAATATATATAAGATATACATAATATGATATATATATACAAATGGGAATTATATGGGAATTATGTGGGGATTTCTGGGATTGTTGAATGACTTTTCAATGAGGTTTCCACTTCAATGGGGGATCCGGAAGGTAGTCGATTTTCATGTAAAATCCGATCTGGAAACGGATGATGAACAGGGTTAGCCCCATTTTAGGAAACCGCCATAATCCAAAAAATCTTGGGAGAGTGGATTGATGATGTATACATCCAACCTATCTTGATATATCCAAATTGGATTGAATTCTGGTAGATTGGGAGATGGTCATCCATTTTCAGAATCTACAAACTCATGGCATGTTCTGATTCCCATGGCATGGGATGACCATAAACCATGTACCATGTTTTGACCCTACCATGATAAACAAATCTAATGAGTTTCCCCTTTGGTTGCATTTTGTTGATTTCCTTCCTTTATTTGTTGTGAAAACATCCCTTTGTTTGGTCAGCTTCCTCTTTTCTGGATCTCCCAGATTTCCGGAGGGTGACGTAGGATTCTCCAAAACTGTTCCCCAATATTTGCTGGGTAGAGTACCCAAGATGCCAAAACTGTTGAGATTCGTCGAAAAACCTGGGTTTTTTTCGCTGAATCACCGAACAAATTGAAGATTCACTTGTGCAAAACATTCATTTTGGTTGTACCTTCTGCAATTCTTGTCCAAAATATATTGAAGGGTGGCTGGCATCCCCAGTGATTGTTGGTATCATATGTGGTGGTTTGTGAGGGCACAAACTTTGTTATTGTCCCTCATTCGGTTGAAGGCACATCAAGAGGAAACGATGTTTTTTTTTTTTTTACTGGGTTTCAACCGTACATTGTTCCTTCAAATCGGGGAAGGTGTTCACTGGCATACTCCAAGTGGCTGTTTATTCTCCAATTCGAGAGTAGAATTGTTTTATTTCCCCAAATTTTCGATCTTAAAAGTCAGGGTACACTTCAATCGAAAGTACAGATTAAAATCCTCGGTCTGGGGTTTATTTTCTGGTATTTAGATCCTTTCTTGAGGTCATGAAAGGACGATTGAGCATCAACTGCGCCTCAAGCGTGTTCGGGCGCACAGTCTTCGGACGGCGAAAGTTTGCTTTTAATGTGGGAAAAACAATGGTTTGATAAACCATCCACGACTGAGAATGGTTTATACCACCTATCAAAATGGTGATGACTGGGGATGGTTTATTGTTGTTTTACAAACATTAGTTTTTTTTTTTGATTGTTGGTGAATGTTGGCGAATCTTGCAATTTTGGTTGCTGAAGTCATCCTAACCCAGTAAAGCCCCCACTTTTTTTTGCGGGTCTATGATAAGACTACAGGGTCCGCAAAAGAGAACGAAAATCAAAACAACATCAGTACAGTAACACAAAAATGTTTCTATTATTTTGGGGATCTCATGAACTGATGGCTTGAACATGGAGGTACGCATTTGATAGTCTCTACCATTGTATCTTTTCTTTTTTGAATGATCTCGAGCAATTGCCATATACGAAGTGAGCATCGTTCCCGGATGACCGTCGCCTTTCGAGACATAAACAGTAAAATATCTCAACAAAACTCAACAACATTGATCCAGATGAATCCGGAAACTTCATGTTTTTTATTTGTTGTGTTTGGTTTCTTTACCCAACTAGGATAACTAGGGAACCATCTTCAACCGATATATGGGATGGGCTCAGGCTGAGCGCTTGAGCAGATGGCAGCGAGTCTGAAACCCCGGGGGCAACGGGCGAAACGTGGTGTGAAACACGGACCCCCCGGGGCAGGAAACAATTCACCATAAATTCACAGAAATACAGGTCTCCTAAAATGGGGGTTTCCCCCAAATCATCTATTTTTTTTGGATTTTCCATGTATTTTTTTACTATCCAGCTATTGTGGTAGCTTCTTTACCAACTGGAGATGGATTCAAAATTCAAGACCACCAAACTGAAACATTGAGTAAAGGTATATCATCGAGAACATATCAATGTATCCCAATGACCACCAATGTATTTCTCTTTTTCTCAATTCTCCATTGATTAAAAATTGAAGATTATTCAAGAGAAATACGGTGGGTGGAAGAAATCCTGCACCCTCTTGGATGGTTGAAACCCTATAAATAATGGGATAAACCACCTATCAACTGGTGCAGGATTTCTTCCATCCACAGTATCATTGAGAGAAAGGTCGAAGGTAGACGATTTGTTAAGGGGTTTCGCATGCCCTTGCGGGATACCATTTTTTCACAAGCAAGGGGCATGTTCTCGAAACTTGTACTAAGTAAAATCATATGCCAAAAAGACTACAACAATAAACCTTATTTTATTGGGATGATTGAAGACTCCTCTTCCCAAACTACAGTAATAATCTAATAATATTTACAGTATTTAATAGTAGAACCCCATCCTTGCTGACCCACAACGGTTTCGTCTAAGGATAGAGTAACCCTGCCACCATCCAGTGGCTTCAGAACATTATTGGCAAATCCTCCGGGTTTTCAGTGCCATTGTCATGTTGAACATATCCCATACATTTTTCCCATGGTATACCCACGGTGCTTTGGCTTTTGGACATTTTTCAGGGGTGTTTTCTTGCCATAGACAAGACGCTGGCCCGGCCTCCATTTTGTTTCAAACTTAGATCCCACAGAAAGATTGATCCATATTTGCAACTGGATGAGCTGGGAATCGGATGAGAGGAATCATCGCCATTTACATCCAGATCCCTGGCGACGCTGATGGATCAAACACCTTTTATCCCATGTTACTGGGGGATGAAGATCCAGAAGTCTCCCAGCTATTTACATACGAAAACCCGCAGGATTCTAGTGGTTTTGATCCATGGTGACATATTTGGGTCCTCAAAATTTGGTACCCTCAACTCATTTCGGGAAACGATCATTTTTTCCATTCAAATATGTTCATTTTGGTGGTGGGAATGCCCCATTTTCACCAAATCCACCAAACATCTTGCTCAGATGGGCTCTGGAATTAGCTGCTCAGTAACTGGCAACCCAACTGATTGATGATATCTACAACCCAGTTACTCACCATATTTTTAAAAACTAATCCCCAGGGCCCATCTGCAGCACCGGCACCGGCAGAATATGCGCATGGGCATCTGGGCGTTGACCCTGGCGGTGCCTTTGGGCTTCGGGTGGACCTGGTACCGCTCGGCGGAGTGCGGGGACCCAGCGGGGACCCGTGCCCGGTGGATGGCCCGGTGGGGAGAAAATCCTGCGTTTTGGACGCAAAAAACGATGGCAACTGTGGGATTATCCAACTCTTTGCATGTTGGCAATGAGTTTGAGCCAAAAATGGAGATAAATCTTAACATGAATGGATACTGGATTTATTGGATGACCGAAGCCAGGCCAACCTCGCTATGCCATCAACTCGTGGATGTTGGAGGCATCCTTTTACATACATACATCCAGGCAGGCAGGCAGGCAGACAAACATACGTGGGTCAAAAACCCGAGGCAAACGGCCTTTGGCCAAGCATTTGGTCGGGCGACTTGTGGGGCCTTGGGGAGGAGGTATATTGACTTAATGATATAATGACTTTTAGGGAGATTATATATATATAATAGACATTATAGATATATATGATATAGAGTCATTTTGATGCGATTATATAGTAGTATGGTCTATTTCATGGGGTTACATGAGTTATTCTAATGGAGATCATGAACTCTAATGGCTCTAGGAACTACAGTTTTGGTTTTCTGGGGGACTAGAATTATAGTCCATAATCAAATCATAGAATAATCATTCCAGTCCCGATTTTTTTTTCTAAAACGTTTATTCCATATAGTAATCCACAATAGTCGTTTGGAATTCTATTTTGATCATTGGAAGAATTATAGTCAATGATCTTTGAAATAGGGACTAGAATAGGGACGGACTAGAATAGGGACTATGAATTATTCTTTTTGGATTGATTAATAGGGGTTGCTTGTTGATTAGTGTGTAAAACACACTTTTGGTTGCATCCATATAGGTTTTGGTCTGAAAATAGTCACCCCAAAAATGACAGTGTTAATATTGTTTAATGGGGAATATGAATGAAAAACAGATACACACCATCCATTTTTTTTGGGGAACACTATTTTCGACAAACCCAGGTTGTCCTTATTCCCAAGTCGGAAATTCTACTGGTCATCATGGAAACATGGCGAAATCTGGGAAACGTCTTCCATTTACGATGGGATTTTCCCCATTTTCCAATTTCTTCGTATTTTAGGTCGCCTTTTCGCAAACGTGAATGGACCCGGCCCAGTTCGGGGCTGCTCCTGAGGCGTGATCGCCTTCAGTTTCGGCTCGGCCTCAAATCGCTCGCAGCCGGTGACCGCCGAGAGATGTGAAGCGAAGCGGCATAGCGAAGCCCAGCCTGCGCGGCGTAGCCGACAGATCCCCCGATGGATTTTGATTTCGCCAAGTGACCCGTTTGTTGATATGGAATTTCTGGATAAATCATGATAAATCTAGGGAATCAATGGGTATATCTAATTTTAATAATGGTACTACTTAGTTCTTTTTTTGTTCACACATATATTCACTGCACTGGATTTTGGGTTTGAGATGAAATACGATAAAGGTTGGATGACGCGTCTCCGACATTGGGCGTTTGGTTGCTTTCCTTCTCATCATGGTTGGTCCACCATGAGTCATTTGTCCAATTCTTGTCGTCCACCATGGCATTTTTTTTGGGTGATATCCTCATTCGAAACCCAATTCTAGATGGATGTTTTTCATCCAGTTTCTATTGCTATCTGTTCTCTCCATCTGTTTGAAAACTTGTATTCCTGTAAGTCCCTTACGGGTCCCGTGAGTTAAAAAGCAGGGGCCGTGAGTGATCTTTGGGCTATGGAAATCCGGTGTCCGGAAAATGACCGAAGCCTGTTCTCCCGAGCCCTGGTTCATCATGGTTTTTATAGGGGAATCATCCCCTTTTATGCCCTCAAGATTCAGGTTAGTGATATATGATAATCTAGCCAGATGTTTTTTGCCCATGACCTTAAAAAAAACTGTTTTTTTTTGGATTTGGACACTAAGTGTGCTACCAGAGTAGCAGGTATGGGCCAACTCTGGTGGATTTGGATGAAAAGGGGCGTCAGCCAGGATCGATAGACGCACCTGAAGGCAAATATGGATCCCCATAAACTGGTCAGGCATAAAGCATTGAACAGAATGATGATCGGGACAATTTGGAGGAAACCCAGCTTTTTCCCCCCAAAAAACTCGGGTCCTGGGTCCTGGGGGTCATCATTCCAAGCGGGCGATCTCAAAACTGGAACAGTTAATGTGCTGTGGGGTCGCTTAAGGATCGTCTCATCGATATTTTAGGGTAGGAACCCTGGATTTTCTGAAATCTTTTTGTCAATTTTCCATATAAATCATCTTGAATGACCCAAGAAAACCTGCCAAAAAGCACTCCGCATGAAAACGGTGTTAGGTGTATGACGATGGTAGTAGGTAGTGGTCAGATTTTCCTGTTACGCGTGGGACGTGACTTCCATTGGTGAAGATGTCAATGCTGCAGGTTTTGTCGAACCTCTGTAGGACATAGAAAGCCGGGATATCTGATGGTCAGAAAAGGAGGTTTGTTGGAATTTGTTCCTTAAACCAATCCATTGACTATTTGATGTTAGTAACCATGGCGGATGTTTCCAGCACGCCAAGCTAGATTGGGCCAATCTTGGGATTCCAAACATATCCATCACTGGTTGGGGTTTCAAATTTGTGTTGTTTTTTCAACCAAACAGAATCAGGGATGCTTGGTTGAGATGACAAGCATTTTTTTTGAATGGGGCATGGGATTAGCCAAGGGTAACCTTCAGTAAGTTGGCAGAGCTTTCCTTGAGACGAGTTCTTGGCAGCTCCAAGCTGAACAGTGAGCATTGGCCAAAAAGAGGGTGAAATTACCTGCAAGATGGGAATCTACAGTAATACAAAAAAAACACGCGCCTACAGAACCGAACATTTGCGGGTCCGTATTTTTGTCCGTATCTCTAGAGTTTGACGATCTTCCAAGTTACCAGCAAATATGGCAAAAACATGCAAAAACCAGCAATTATCAGGATATCATGGTCGTTTTGATTAGACTTCATTGGGTTCTATATGGGACTGTATCTTATAACAGACTATAATGGAGGGTTCAAAGCCAAATTTTTGGCTGCTGCTCATGTAGCGATTAAGGAGTGCAGAGGTCTCTCCATCACCGTTTCGGCCTGTGGCCGACCAAAAATGCGCGCAGGGGTTGCCAGAATCGGTAAGGAACCTGTTTTCAAGAGGAACACCATCCAAACCATCTATAATCAATGGGAATTTCAGGATCCTAAAATGGAGGTACTGTACCATATAAGGCTATATTTTCTAGGGATATTCCCTTACATAGGCCTTACATAGGCCTTATATATAGTAGGTACCTCCAATTTAGGTTCCTGAGATAGCCAGTGATATAAGTGGGGTTTTTATCCGTAGAATCACCACCCTTTCCGTGGGGTGTAAGCATGGGGGACGTTCAAAAAATGTAAGCAACAATTTTGACCCCTTCGTATTTTTTCCCGATGGGGAAGGCTCTGTGTACAGTATGTTAGACCCCCCAAAACCGAGCCCCGGAAGATTTACATTTGGAGGGGGGTCGAAAGTCCGTAATAGATACGTCCCCCCGTACCCCCCCCCCCGTGATTTCTTTTTGTTTACGTGTCTACACAATGCAGTCATGCATGTTGACATGTACACTTAATTCATATCTCTCATGCGCACTCCGCATGGCTCAAGATTAGCAGCAATTCCGCGAGTAGCAAAAGAGTGCAGTCGCTATCGCTTGCCTCAGGTGTTGTAATATAGTTTTCCAGGGCTCCCCTAACAGAGGGATAGCTACCTCAAAGTGGTAGCGGAGCCTGTGCCTTCGCCAAGTCTAGATCCGTGTGCCGAACTGCCGTTCTCTGCATACATTCCGTATATCGGAGTTGCGGAGGCAACCTGTAGGTCAAGTTAGAGTAGCTGCCATGGTCTTAATCCACAACATGGATTCAGATGAAGAACAACTCCAGATTGTCTCTTATGAAGAGCCTGAAGCATATGCCGCCACCAGTCATTCCGAAAACCGGATGGGCATCAAAATGACACCGAAGGTTCCACCCCAATTTGATGGCCAATCAAGCTGGTTTGAATATGAAGATTTAATTGATGACTGGTTAGGGATCACAACATTGGATGCAGATAAACACGGACCATCATTAAAGAATGCCCTCATTGGTTCCGCTTCTTTTTATAAGTCGATGCTCGATAATGCCTTACTCCGAGATCCGGATCGTGGCCTCGCTCATTTCAAGGACACATTGAGACCATACTTCGTGAAGGGAGTAAATCATGTGTTCCTTTGGCGATTCCTCCAGATGTTTCGCACATATCGAGGCCAGAGTGAATTCGTGCACTGGATAGGGCGAATTCGTGCACTGGATAGGGCGATTTGAGATCGCGCAGAAGCGTTTGTTGGCTTCTTGGTCCGATCTGCTGGACATATCCGATCTTCCCGAAGCCGGCACTCAGGCATTTACGGCAGCACTCACAGATGAGCAAAGACTGCACTATAATGGAATAGTAACAGATGAAGATAAGCTAGCTTATCAACAAGAACTGAGAGAACAGACCATAACCAATAGAAGGACCAGACACGCACAGCAGTTTCCATTGTCAGACAATTTGATGTCACTGATTTTTCTAGTGCAAGCAGACCTCAACGAGCAACAACGAGAGCGTTTTGTCTCGTCCATGAACATCCGTCAGATTGCAATGCCTCAATACACCTATCTCCAAGTGAAACAGCTGTTCTTAGAACTTTTTGCCGTTTCTCGCACAGGTGTTGCAGACCCAAACATCACGCACCGCAAGCGGTCCAACTTCTACGTCATCGACGAGGGCGAGACCGAAGAAGGTGAGTACGGATTTTGGGTCTTAGATGAAGAGACGGGTGAAGAAGGTTTCACAGGTCTGTACACCGAGAACGAGTTCTGGGTTCTCAACGCCAAGGGTTCATACTCTAAGCGCCGCATCTACGGCAGGTCCTTCAAGAAAGGTAGACCAAAAGGTTATGGCAAGAAAGGAGGAAAGAAATCAAGACCCGGCTTCCGCTCGAGGTCAAAAGGCAAAGGTTTTGCAGCATGGGAAGATGACCAGCAAGACACAGCTTTCTGGGGAAAAGGCAAGGGCAAAGGAAAAGGTAAAAAGGGCAAGAAAGGAATGATGAAAGGAAAGGATTCTTTCAAAGGAATGCCTTCATGGAAAGGAAAAGGAAAAGGTGATGCGAAGAACAAAGGAGGAAACAATCCATTTTTGTCACAACCTCCACAAGCTAATGTAGCACAGGCTGCAACATCCAGTGCATCACAAGCCCCTGAAAAACAAGAAACAGCCCATGCCGAAGAAAGCTGGAGTTATGACTATGACACATACTGGACAGACGACTGGTCAGGTTATGAATCCTACTATGGATATGACGGAGATTACTCCCAAGGTGATTGGTACAATTGGTCGTATTTTGCTTCCACTGAGGAACTGACCGAATCCGAGGACAAGCATTCAGACATCATTTTCGAGGACGGACAGACCGACAAGATCAACCGGTTCTGTTTTTCAGGCATCCGCTTGTTCCGATTGTTCGGACACGAACTTGTAGAGGCTCTCACATTCGTGCTTCTGTTCGTGTCTGTTATGTACCAGTGCTTTTCTGATTTGAACAGGTCCCTATTGAAGAGCATCCGCCAAGTTGAGAAGAGTGTTTCTACCGAAAACGGTGATCTGCATTCGTTTCAGCCGCGCACAAGCCCGCTCGATTCCGTCTCAACGGAAGAGTGTGTATTTCTCAATTATGATCATGGTGCCCAACAAGCATTACTTTGTGAATATGTAGATTTAGGTTCTCATCCGACTTATGTCATTCTTGACTCAGGTTGCACTCGAGCCATGGGATCCCGCTTTGCCATTGATCGCCTTGTACAGGCTTGCCAACAACATCCCAAGCGTGATCACATTTGGTTTTCTAAGCAACCGTGTTCAAGTAAGTTTTCATTTGCCAATGGAGAACAATCTACTGTCAAGGAAAGGTTAGTGATTCATTTTCGCAATGATCGTGCACAAACTGGTTGGATCACAACATGCGTTGACATCCTGGACAAAGGTAAGGTTCCTATCCTCTTTTCAGTTGAACAAATGAGGAATCTGCGCATGAACATTGAACACACTCCTGTAGGTGAGTTCATGACTTGTCCACTGTTTGGAATGCAGCGCACCGCATTAGCGGTCAGTACATCCAACCATCCAGTCCTTGACATTATGGCTCTTGCTACTTCCAGTTGGAAACCGATGTACAGCTTTCAGTCCGAAGACATCACATGCCCAGCATGCAATGGTAAACATCGACCACACACCAACAAAGAAGGTTGCAAGAGATTCAAGGGATCAGAGTTTAAGCC